TTTAGATTCCCTTTATTCACCCAAGTGGAACACCCTTTAACTCAAATTTACCTTTAGCCATGGCACCCCCCACTCATCTCTCTTATATGTTGCAGTTGGGCCCAAGGTTGCATTTCATAAAAGGGTTCCAATGCCAAAAATCATTGGGAAACAATTAATCTAATCTAATCTAACCACACTTGACAGCTAAGAAAATTGAGGCTCAGAGACAGAGAGAGACTTCCTCAAGGTTGTACAGGGAGCTAGTGGCTAAGCCAGAGAACCTCCTTTGTCCTAGATATTCTTTCTGCCAATATACAGAAATTTGAATAAGCTCCTTTCAAAGCAAACAAGCAAACAAATATACCCCTGTTGGAGTATGGCCCAGATTTATTTGGGGACGATTGTAGGAATTTCATAGGTAACCACTTCCTCTTCTGAGGGAATAATTCCAAGCTCCTATGCATAGGATACCTTATCACAGTATCCCATTGCTAAAGGAGGCAAGGTCCAGAGCAGGATTCCATAGTAAGGCCACTCCTTGCAAGTAGAAACAAAGAAAACACAAAGCTTGAGAGCTGGGTGTTACTTGCTCAAGGGAAAAATAAGACTATACTTTGTTCCCTGAAGGGACTAAGTTTGAATAGAGACTCACACACTGACTTGGACTTGGGGTTGTCCCAGGGACAGGGATAATCACTGGGGATTTGTTAACCGAGGGCCACAACTGGGTAGGGTTGCTGTATTTTCAGTGGTGCGCTGGTAAATGATTAACACTTGGCTCTGGGTAGGAAGGAGAAGCCTAGAGTTTAGTGTTCACCAATTGCATGCTGCATATTCCCCCACAATGGTCAATTTCAAGCTACCAAGTTTAATGTCACTGAATGCAAATGGGGAAAAGTTGTACACAATTGGCTCTTTGGAGCCTGTGCCACCAGCTCCAGCATGCCCCTGAGCACTTTCCTCACTTCCATCTCTGCTTCTGGCTACTATGGCTAACTACTGAGAACCGGGCAGCTGGAGCCATAGGTTCACTTGTCACAGCCTCTTCTGCAGTCACGAGAAGTGTGGAGAGATGTGTCTTTCTCCTTACAAGTAGGCAGCTGCCTCTACTCTTTCTGGAGTGGGTCTGGGTGAACCCTCCTGAAAAATCTCCAGTGCATCCATCCATGCCTGGGGTTCTGCCATTTATAAATAATTTTTTCCTTTTCTTCCTGGAGTCCTCCAAGAAAGCAGGATTTCTTGGGTTGCGAGTGGTGAGTCTCTAGCACTTTGACATGAGCATATTTGCCAGAGTGGAGAGAGAGGTCCTGAACTTGAAGGGTGTAGAGAGGAACCAAAGCACTAAAAAGGTTATGGGAAGATTGCAGAGATGGTCTGGGGTCATCATTCTCATTCCTCACAGTCTGCTGATTTACCAACTGAGTAGGGGAGGACGCGACTTTGATTCTTCTTACCCTAAAGTCCTTAGGTAAAGCCCACGGTTAAAAGACTTTGTCCTAAGGGAAAGCACTTTTGATTGGCCTGGAAAAAGGAGGTTCTAGGACAGTTCTAAAAGATTCCATACTACCTTATATCAGAGTTCAAATAAATTCCAAATGACATTAAATGTAAAAGGAAAATCTTCAGATGTTTAGAAGAAAACATCCATATTAACCGGGGGAGAAAAGGATTTATTAAAAGTACTGTAAGTAACAGAGAAGAAGTAAATTTGACCACATTAAAATTAACTTACATTCCTCAAAGGCCCCATTAAAAAAAAGACAAACTTCTAATTGGGAGAAGATATTTGGGATGTAATAAACTATCAAAGGATTAATATAGAAAATAACCCCTGAAAAGCTATATGACAAGTGTGAACAAATAGTTAAAAAAAATGGGCAAATTACATGAACAAGAAATTCACAGAAGAGGAAACATAGATGGCCAACAGTCATACTCAGTCTTATTAGTATTCAATACTACATGCTATCCATTTTATTCCAACTAGATTGGCCAATATTAAAAAAATCAAACTACCAAGTGTTGCATAAAATGTGGAATAATGAGACATAGAAACTGTTGATTGGTGTAGAAATTGGTGCAACCGCTTTAGCAGAGAATCTGATGCTATCTTGAAAATTTGTAGATGAGCACACTTATAATACAGTAACTTCACTCTAAGTATATCCTCTAGAACAGGGGTTTTCAACCTTGATACTATTGACATTTGGGACTAGATGATTCTTTTTTGTGCAGAGCTGTACTGTGCATTTTAGGCTATTTATCAGCATTCTTAGTTGCTATCCACTAGCCAGTATCAGCTTTATGCCTCTACTTCCTCCACCCATTCCCCTGGTTGTGACAACAAAAAATGTATCCAAAATTGCCAAATGCCCCCTGAGAGGCAAACTTGTCCTTATTGAGAATTACTGCTCTAGAGAAATTGTTGTATGCTTGTAGCAGGAAACATGCAAAAAATGTTCATGATAGAATTATTCTCAACAACAATGAAAATCTGGAAATTCTTTAAGTATTAATCAATAGTAGAATGGATAAATAAATTGTGGTACATTCATACAATGGAATACTATACAGTAGTGAAGATGAGTGGACTATAATTTTGGAAATCTTTAAAATATAATACTTCTATTATTTTATTTTGCAAGTTCCTTCAAGTTTTGTCATTCTTTATGTCCCTTCCCTTCCATTCCATATATCACCCTAGTTAGTTTGGAAGCTCTTTAAAGGATGAGACTGTCTCATTTCCTTGGTACCACCCATACCTTGTGTTTAGTGGACACTAGGGTTTCAGTAAACACTGGCTGGCTGGAAAGCACCCTTCTTCCATCTTTTGCACCATTCATATCCCAGATCAAGAATGAAGCAAACCATTTAGAGGTCATTGAATGGATTTGGACTATCTGTAAACTAAACCTGTTCTACATATTCAAAAGGACCAGGATCTAGTTTCTTTGGAGATTTGAGAAAAAGACAAGGGAAGCTGGAGAAGCCATGTGCAGGAATAAGGAGAAGAAAGGATGGGCTCAAAACTGAGCTGAGAGGTTGCGGTGTGAAGGTCTGTCTGGGGCTAATATTAAAGGGGGGGAAAGGTAATAGAAATGGCACCAGGCTGATTAAGTAAAATTTTCTCTCTGTTGACTTTGCCAATTCACATAATCTCTTCGAGCTGCCCTTCATCTGTTAACTCTGTCATATGAAGGGGGCAATTTCTTTGATTCTCTGATTCCGATTTGATTGACTGAAATTGAAGTTGTGAGCCAGAGAGCTAAAAAACCCGGAAGGATATTTTACAACCAAGCACTGCACGCCCTCCAGTGGTAGAAAACCAGTAACTCCGTGAAAATGGAGAACGGAATTTTTGCCTAAAATAGATTTTGTGAAGTATTATATAATGCTTTTCTTTTTGCTCTCAACTGGATACTTAGTATTCTCTACAGATTTTTAAAATGCTACAGTGCTGTGAATGAGTGTTATTGTAATGTTATCAATATCCAGAATGTCAGAGCTGAAATTAATCATAAAAATAGTGTATCCAAGTTTTCATTACACCCAAGAAAGGAAGTTCAAGAGGTAAAGGGACAGGTGTGCATTGTGGCCTCTATCTTTCGGCTCCCTGTTCAGTGTTCACACTTCTCTGCATCTTGGGTTCCCTATAGCAGTCGTTCTTGAACATTTGCCTTGGCCATGACCCAGTTTGGGGCATTATTGGGGATAATGATAACAATTTTCAGTTACTGAGTCTTGCTCTTTGCAGAGCACTATTCTAAGTGCTTCACGTCTATTTCTTATTAATTCTCACAGCAACCTCACGAGATCGTATAATTATCCTTATTTTGTAGATGAAGAAACTGAGGCTCAGAGGATATTAAGGGTGTTACTAAAAGAAGTAAATGATTTGTCTCTGCCCTCAAGCCATTTACAGCCTAGATGGAAAGACAAGCTTGCCTATCTTGGCTGGAAGGAAAGATACATCTATAAATGATCTGTGGCTAATTTGTCCAGCACACAGAGTTTTGGAGCTAGGGCATTAAGGCCTGAGACAGGACGTGGGTTTTCTAAGTGGATTTCTTTGTAATGTTGGTGGATGGGACTCGCATCAGCACTTTTAAGCTCAAGGGTGACCAATAGGCTTCATCTCACATAATTATTCCTATGGAGTAGCATCTGTATTGTGCTCTATCCATAATGGTCATACCTAGGCTCATATTCCCTTTATTAGGCTAATATCTCCTTTATTTTTCTTTTTAAAATAATATTTTTAAAGGATGGCATTCCATAACTATCTTTGTAAATCATGTTTTGGATGGAACCTTTAAGTACGTATCTGCTCCATCCCACCAAACATTACAAAGTGGAACAAAATCAAACAATTTCTTTAAAAAATGTGTTTTGAAACAAAATACGTTTTGAAAGAAAGAGCTTTAAAGGCTCCTTAAAAGGAGAAAAACAACAATAAAAACAACAATGAAACTTTTTTTTTTTTTAAAGATTTTATTTATTTATTTGACAGAGAGAGACACAGCGAGAGAGGGAACACAAGCAGGGGGAGTGGGAGAGGGAGAAGCAGGCTCCCCGCAGAGCAGGAAGCCTGATGTGGGACTCGATCCCAGGACCCTGGGATCATGACCTGAGCCGAAGGCAGTCACTCAACCAACTGAGCCACCCAGGCGCCCAACAATGAAACTTTTAAAACTCTTGCCTAGAGTAGAATCTTCCGCCATCATACGCATGCTTTGTATTTGCAAAGGAGTTTCCCATCCATCCTCTGTTAGAAATCACCGGCCTTGGTAAGTGAAGGAGTCAGGCCAGGTGTTGTTGCTATCTTTTTGTGGATGAAGAAGGCGAAGACTGGACAGAGAGGGGAATAGTTCAAGGGTACACAGCTGGCTGAGCTGGTGCCAGAACCAGAATGCAAAACTTCGGGTTCTACTATGCGCATTAGGTATCTGGGATTGTGGGCTTTTGTTCTATTAGGTACTCACAAGGACTTCTTTAGATCTATTATGTTCCAAACAACAGGAACAATCTCTTTTCTTAGAAAATCAAGGTTTTTTTTTTTTTCTGTTTATGGTAATCTTCTAAAACTTGATGAATATATATATATATATATTTTTTAGCACAGCTGATTTTTAAATTTTTATTTTTATTTTTGTTTCTTTTTTTTTTTTTTTACTTTTGTTACATAAATTAACCCGTTTATTATAGGCTAGCAATGTTTCAAATGGTGAAGCTTCTACTGGTCTTTCAACTCCTTCAGTCTTCTGATGGCAGACTTTACTGTGACAGCAGAAGTGGTGTTGTAGGTCCAGGCGCCACCAGCGACGGTTTTCATACAGGAGCCACAATGCCAGATCCCCACAGCTCGTCTTTTCATCTTTGTTTTGCCACAGAAGGAGCAAGTGTACTTGGCGTGCTGGCTTATTTCAATCTTCTTCACCATTTTCCTGAGGGAGGCACCATAACGGGTCCCGTATTTACCCACGATTCCGACCTTCTTGGTGCGTTTAGCCATGTCGCCGCAAACTAGGTCTAAGCCCAGAGAGGAAGCTATTTTTTGTTTGTTTGTTTCTTGAAGGAAATTTATTTTTTGTGTGTGTGGAATTCAATTCAATTTATTTATTTTTTAATTTTTTTATTATATTCAATTAGCCAGCCTATAGTACATCATTAGTTTTTGATGTAGTGTTCAACGATTCATTAGTTGCATATAACACCCAGTGCTCATTCTACTCCAACATGTTTTTGATTCTAGTCACACAGAGCAACCTGGTTTGAGGATGTAATTCATTTGCCATTACAATTACACAAATAGATATTCAGAGAGTAAAGCTATGAAGACTGAGGTCATTTTCTAGTTCAGTTTTCCTGCTTCCGATTTTAGCGCTTTCCAAGGACCGTCTCTTATGAAGTGAGACTTTTAGAAAATGAGATAGTCTTCTTTTCTCCCTTGGAACTACCATGGGATCTGGTAGCTGCTTCTTTACACCCTTCTGATCAGGTTTATCGGGACATTCTACAATCCAGGGAATAAATGATATTTCAGTGGAAGTGGGACACTTTGTCTGGCATTTGATCTGAAATGTGCTGTACATTTGTAATGTGGGAGCCAATGTTTTCCAAGTCATGGAAACTGAAGCTGAGGGCTTCTTTGAACTTGATGAGCATGTACAGAATGGGAGAAGCCAATGGTTAGCCCTCATGCATAAAGCTTGCTTTCCATTCTCTCAGCGCCCTTTTTACCCATCCCCACAACACTCCCTGCGCTGCCCCCAATTAACAGTGCCCAGATGCTGTGTGGCATTCCTGCAGGGATAACCTGCCACCATCTCGTGCCACAGAAATCTCTTCAGGGTGAGCAACAGGCTCAGAATTCCTTAATTAATGAGGATGATGTGAGGTTGTAAACCCAGCTGTGGGCTGCTGGCTCCGCAAACCTGCCTACCAATAGCAAGTGAGGAAATGTCACGTGGTAACACGGCTTCATTGTCCTGGGCCTCCTTAACTGAACTCGATGGAAGATCCTTGGCGGGGGAGCCAACAGCAACATGCCAGTCTCTCCAGAGGTACCCAGGGGCAGGGCTCCTTTTTTCCTGGGGGTCTCTATCCTTAGAGTCAATTTAATGATGGGAGAGAGTCTTGGAGAAGAGGGGATGGAAGCAACAGCTTATTTACAAAAGGGCATGTTTTCCAGTCACTAAGCACTTGTGTTTTTGGTGAGTTCCCTGAGGAGACTTAGTATCCAACCTCTTCTTCCCAGCTGTCTTTTTGTAGTGATTACTTACCTTTCATCCCAGACTGGGCTCTGACAACTTTCTCTATGGGAGAGACACATTCATTGCTTTAGCAGACACAGTTGTTTGACTCATGAGAATGAGAGCACCTTGTTTTCCAGAGAGCCAGTCTACAAAACATTTCCATACCTGCCTTTGCAGAAAAACTCATTCAAGTCTCATCAGTCCCAGCTTACAGATGAAAAGACTGAGGTTTGGAGATGCCTGGGTGGCTCAGTCGGTTAAGTGTCTGCCTTCTGCTCAGGTCATGATCTCCGTGTCCTGAGATGGAGCCAGCCCCACATCAGGCTTCCAGCTCAGTGGGGAGTCTGCTTCTCTCTCTCTCCCTCTGCCTCTCCCCCTGCTCATTCTCTCTCTCTCTCTCAAATAAATAAATAAATAAAATCTTAAAAAAAAAAAAAAAAGACAAGACTGAGGTTCAGAGATGTTAAGCAACTTGTACAACCGGGACCCACCAAAACTGGATTGGAATCTTCAGTCTCCACACTCTGTGCCCTTTCCACTGCCTCTCAGAAGCCCCACCAGATCGTCTTCTGAGAGAAGCGGGAAATCATAAGGAAGTCTGACTGTTGGCGCGAGGGGTCAGAATCCCTCAGCATGCCTGGGGAACCAAGGCCTGGCCTTGATGGCTAGCACTTCCTGCGTCAGCGTTCTGACTAACACACAAAGCCCACGGACAGTGCATTCTGGTAGCAGAAGTGGGAAACACGTGGGGCAGCTTGTTCGTAATTAAAAATGAGAAAAAAAACAGGAAATTAAGTGAACTCACAAATAGGCCAAAGGTGAGTTCCTTCCCACTCATGTTTTCCATTCATGCTTCAGAGGCCCACAAGATGTCCAATGCCCCTGGAATTTCCAACACTGGGTTCTTTAACAGTTCAACCTGATCACCAATATATGTACTGGTCAAGCAATACACACACGCACACACACGCACACACACAGTTGTTCTTTGCAAACAACAGATGCAATATATATAATACGTATTATTATATTATATATATAGTAATATAAATTAAGGTTCTGATCCGGTTTCTTGGGACATTATTGGGTTCCCGCACTGCAATGTATTATTGTGCACTACGGTTTGCAAAGCACAGGGATAGAGGCTGAATGGTATCAGAAATGACCAAATCAGCCTCCCTGTTTTGGAGTTGCTTCCAGTCTTGTGGGAAAGACTGGGCTGTTGTAAACAACTTTTTGGAATATGAGGCAGAATGAAGTAAGTGCTATAACTGAATGAAAAATTAAGTGTTATGTGAGCCAGAGGAGGGAGAACTTTTTCCAACAGGATAATGGAAGACTTCAGGTAGAGGAGGGATTTGTGGTCAGCCTTGAAGGATAGTAGGATTTAGACAGAAAAAAGCCAGGAAAGGCATTCTGGGTTCAGGGCCTGGGGGAGCATAGGCTGGGATGTCTACAATATTCTGTTTCACCAGAGGATGGCTATAAGGTGAGGGACCTGTGAATGGCTGGGGGCAAAGGAAGGGGGCCAGGCACAAAAAAGGAAGGTGGGCTTTTTAATAGTTTTTTGTCCAGGGACCTGGAAAAGTTTAGATCTACTCTACCAGTCACTTCTCCTCCCAGTTGATTTTCCAGTGGAAATAGAGTCAAGGAATAACAGCTAAGTAGGAATCTAATTAGCCCTGGGAGTACCCAGTAACCCTCAACGTGGAGTTCTGGGGAAAGCACTGACTTTAGCTTGAAGACTAAGTTGGGCCTTTAGTCTCATAGAGTTGAGTCTGAATCCTTCTGACCAGCTCAATTATCTAGAGAGACAAGGGCCAGCATGCTTAGGCATGCATATGGAGATACAGTTGATCTGCCTGGTTGTATGCTCCCAACCACATGGAGGAGGTAATGGGTTTGTACCTTTAACACACAGTAATCTGATCCCAAAGAACATGTGACATTAAAAATGATCTAGAATTTTGATCAGTCAGATTAGTAACTCATCCTCTCTTGAAAGGTGAGGGGAGGAGCTAGAAGGGGGTGGCAGAAGTTTGCATGGCATGAGGAGAGGGACAGAAACGTTCCCTCTTCCACAGGGGGAGGTGGATGAACCTCCATGAACAGGCAGACACAGATGCTGGTTGGCAGAACAAAATGGGAGGGGCTCTGGTCCTAGCAAACAGTCAGGAACTGGTAGAATTGATGGAGTTCATGAGCCAAAACAATGTGATGGTCAAAGGACCAAGGGAAATAGGAAATGAGGAGCAGGGCAAAACAAGTAGGAAGAGGCGCAGATGATACTAACAAGGCAAATGGAAACATTGTTGTCCAAATGCCCTCTTCACTCTTTGAGATCGAGTCCCTGGTGAGCTCAGGCCATGATGACTGCAAGCAGCGCACTTGGTAGTAATGGAGTGGGGGGTAGGGAGAGACTTCTGTCCGTGGCAGTGGGCAGAGACACTTCAGCCCCCGCCCCCCACCAACTCCCGCAAGAGCTGCTCCGCCCTATTACATACTCGTGTGCCTGTTTCCCTAAAGAGGGATTTCCATGTTTTGCGATGTTTGGAAACTATTGGTATGGCAAAAAATATTGGATTGGAATTCAGCAAACAAAGGTTTTAGACCCAATTCTGCAATTTCAGCTGGATGGCTTTGAGCAATTACAACAACAAAAAACAAAACTGTAATAAGACCATGATGATCACTAACGGATAGTGTGTTAAGCTGTGTGTTAGGGACTGTATGTAATAAGTACATGTTCTACTTCACTGAATCCTCATGGCAGTTCTATGTGATAGGTGTATTATTCCTGCTTCACAGAGGAGGAGAATGAGATGCAGAAAGGTAACTTGCTCAAGGAGATACACAGGTGGTAACAGACCCAGTCCTCAAACCCCCGTCTGTCTGATATCAAGGACTTTGATCTTGTAGGACTGCTGCTAGTGCTGTCTATGACTTTCACTCCCACTTATAAGAGGTAAACAAGGATCCCCATCTATTCCCACAGAGCATGGTCAAGGATCAAATGAAAGAATCTTGGTAAAAAAAACAAAACAAAACAATGTGAGCTAAAAGTGCTTTAAAAGGAAGTAATTAATACCCTATTCAAAGTCTGGTGCCTTTAAATGCTTATTGAATGAATACATCCTTAATTGGGAATGCAATTTCTCTATATTTGTATCCCTCTATTAAAATTTTTTTTGTCCTAATTATGTAAACAAGAGGTATTTCCTAAGCCACAGGAAAACAATCTTTTAGAAAATCTTTTAGTAGAAGAGCTTCCTTCCTCCCAAAATTTGATTGGTTTTGGAGGATCAAAAACTGATTAACCTGAAGGTGCTCTTTCATGAAAGGAATCACAAAAGAGCTCATCTTATTGAGTTCACTGTATGTCAGGTGTACTTGTTATCTCATTGAATCCTCGAATGTGGACACTATTATTTTCATCTTATAGGCAAGAGAACTCAACCTTTAAGAAGTTGAGAGATCAGGGCGCCTGAGTGGGTCAGTTGTTAAGCGTCTGCCTTCGGCTCAGGTCATGATCCCGGGGTTCTGGGATCAAGCCCCACATCGGGCTCCTTGCTCAGCGGGACGCCTGCTTCTCCCTCCCCCACTCCCCCTGCTTGTGTTCCTGCTCTCGCTGTGTCTCTGTCTGCCAAATAAATAAAATCTTAAAAAAAAAAAAAAGAAGTTGAGAGATTCACCCAAATTTATCCAGCTTGAAGTGCGATCATGACGCCTGAAAACATTGGATACCTTGGAATAGAAATACAGCCTTGGAGCCGCAGCTTTAAAATG